CCCCAGCCAGCATGCTGGCTGGGGAATTCTGGGAATTGAAGTCCACCCATCTTGAAGGTGCCAAGCTTGAAGAACACTGCCTTAGACTTCCTCAACCCTGACTACTAAAGACCTTGTTCCTGATCTAGAAACTAGGAACCATGCCTGGCTCCATACAAGACGCTTAACTAATTTAAAATGAGGTTTTGCTGTCCGTAGTTGAGTGTGTGAAGGGCCTCCGGGCATTGCCTTAATAGATGGTGGGAATGGGGCCATCACTTAAGCTACAATGTGCTTATCTCTTTGGACGTCGCCTGTAATGCGTACACGGTGGTGCGGTTCTCTTAGCACAGGTTTGGGGTTTAGAAGGTGGTGGGAACCAACCCCATGTGTAGTTTACAAGTCTGTGTCCACAAGTCTGGGCAGCCAGGACTTAGTTGCTTTCTACTGGATAATTCCTCCAAGTTTAAACCAAAATACTTCCAAAGGCTACCGTTAATTCACCCCCATGTCTTTGGCATCGTAAGAATCATGACACCTTTTCTGAAAACGTGCATACGGGATGCTCATTACTTTGAGAAAGTAGTTTTTTGCAGACAGCTGTTCCGAACTTGCTGAGAAGACTCAAAGTTGAGTCTTCCTTTCTCTGAGTCATCTGTTCCATCCATGTCACTGATTAGAATTAAAGGTAAGCTCTAAAGAGGCTCCTCCCCACTGATTTCTGAGCCACTCTGACTGGGGAATTTTATGACGAATCGTAAGCTATCCTGACTTTAGGAAGATAGGCCAAATATTACAAATTTGGAGGAGAAAATGATGACCTACTCCCCTGCCTTACCTCTGGGCTCTGGTTTCAGAGTTCCGCCCAAAACACGCAAGGCCCCTTATCTCATTGTTTGGCCCTTGGTATCAGGACACCGCGGGGACTCCCGATACCACTTAATCGACTCCTGAAGGAAGAAACCAGAATTGTACCTTCATCTTTGTTCCACACTGCAAGGACCCGGAAGATGAAGGCGCTGAAGGTGGCCGCGAAGAAGCCGCGCCAATAGTTGCGGACAGCAAAGAACGTCGAAGTGACTTCGATGCTGAAGAGGACGCCTAAGGGGGCAGAGGAGAAGGAAGAGCTGGAAACCACCGAAGGGGTCTGAGCTCAGCCCCATTTATCCAGGTCCCATGTTCTGTGGGCCAAACATTGTCTCTCCCACCGCTGCTCCTCCTCCCTCACTTTTCAAGAATGCAGCCTCTGTTTCCAATATCGTCTTGAAAAAAACGCCATTAGCCAGGATGGGCGGGACTAGAGATACCAGCCACAGATCTCAATCATTATGAGATTGGAGGCTGGAGCCCTCAATGGCTTCATCTCCCCTCTCTGAGAAGGAAGGACGCACAAAGGAACAACAACCACAACGAAAAAGATTAGAATGAGGCAGCACTAAAAATGCAGAGAGCTGAGCTTTAAGGAAATCGTTTTTAAGCACCCTCCCTCTCTTTCGAGGTCCTCATTGGGCCAAAGACTACTGGAGTGTTTGATGCTGTCAACCAACTGTAATATTTGCAAAGAAACATAAATATCAAAAGAAGGAAGGAAGACTTTCCCTCATTCATTCTAAAGCGCTCCTCGTCTGAGAGAGCACCACCGGCAGAAGGACATATCTAAATTTGTACGGCCAGGGAAAACACCACATGTTAAATACAAGGTGTTACAAGATGCAAAGGAAAGAGGAGGATTGGGTTTACCTGGTTTCAAATTGTATTTTGCAGCTTGCTGTTTGGATTGGATGAAAGAGTGGGTGTTGCTGAGAAATAGAAGGCTTTTGGAGTTCGAAGGACGCGACCTGAGATTTGGGTGGCACGGATATTTGTGGCACAACAAAGCCAAGGTTAATGTGGATTTTAAATATCATTATGTTAGACATGCCATACTGAGAATACGGAATAGATACAAACCCAGGTT